GTGAGGACGTCAGTGTGACGAAACGCGTAGGGCGGAGCTTATTGGATGACGTCAAGACGTTCCCTGTAGCTGTCGGCGAGGTGTCCGCGGTGAACGGAGTTCATCCATTATATGCTTCCTTATACTCTGCCGCTTGTTATACCAGTGTCAGGTGGACACTTGTTTTGTGAGTAAGATGACATTTTAATAAATATATACAGTTTTTACTTACTGTACCATCATGCCTTTCCTTTATTTCTGAGTGATACTGCCATTTATTTATGTGGGAAGATGATCGATGTATAATAAGTTCTGGCCATATCGCAGAGTGGCTGCAGAGTATTGCTCCTGGTGTCTGGATTTCAAATTACAGAGGGTTGCTTCTTTGGATTCTTTCATCGCTCCCAGAGCAAATACGCTTGTGCTGATTTATAATTTGATCAGCATTAAGCTCTGGTGAGTTTATTCCATTCATCTGGTGGTGGATTGAGCACGGTGGATTTATTTGTTTTAAGAAGAAATTCTTTGGGATGTGGGACTTTTGTACATGAACAAGAATTTATAAATTGGTTCACTGGGGACTTTTTTTGATTATATAAATTTATAGCGTTTGGATTTTCTTTGCACGATATATGAAATTTGATATGAGTTAAGCGCATTCCGATTTTGTGTTTTTTACTTTTCACCAATATTTGGGTTAGAGGTTTGCTGCTTTATAGGATTAATTATTGTTGATTGGCGCTTTCTTTTGTTTTTGTGATTTTTATATTTGCACCTGAATGATATATAGTATATGCAACTTGTGTGTGACTTGTATGCGACTTTGTACAGCACAAACAATCATCCTTGGTCAAAGCCAAAGTCGCATTAACCCCCCTGGAGGTATTCCCGAGTGTGGCTCGGGGTAAAGTTTCAGTACCAAAAGCGGTAACCCCGAGCTACACTCGGGAATACCCTGCAGCGTTGCTCAGGGATCCCTCGATCACTTACCTTGTCCTTCGCTCCCGCGATGTCCCCCCAGCAGCGTCCCCGGCCATCTCCTCCAGCCGATGTCGGCATCCATCTTCTGGGTTCCGCTCCCTGCGAGCGTCGGGACGTACGGGGGACGGAACTGGCGGGAAATTTAAAAATGTAAAAATGTGACATTCACTAAATACACTAAAATCTGATAGTATAACATTCCTGTATCAAACCATTTCACATACATTTTGTCCCGAGTGCTTTGTCCGGCGCCCTGCCTGCATTTTTACTGTTCTTTCTGCCTGAAAACTGAGAAACGTCCATGGCGTCCAAAAGGCATCCTTTTTGGTCAAAAGTGGTTTTAGACCGGCTAGAGAACAGCGATAGTAAATTAGAACTACTTGCAGAATTGAGTGATAATGATTCGTGGGGGAAATTCCTCATCAGACACTGATAAATGTCAGGTTTCAAAATCCCTCCACAACTCTCCTCATGCTGAATAAGATGCCACATCCAAAACAGAAGGTAATCATTCATGGCATGAAAGAGAAGCAAGGAAGCTCACATAGCATAAAACCATAAATGCGTATTTATTATAAAAAATAATAATCTATCCACTCACATGTCACAAAACATAAAAGCATTTGTAAATATAAAAATACTGGTCCCAGGAGCTGATCTGAGTGATTTCCTTGGAGTAACCAGCGTGATGAAGTCACATGCGTATGCCTTGCCCACTTACGCTTGTAACATCACCACCCTGGTGAAGGAGATAAGAGATCCATTAAAGGGGTTTTAGTCACACACCTTTCTGACTCTTCTTTACCAAAACAGTCCACATGTTCTGGTAAAAGTCCTCTAGATTTATGGTTGCGGTGCATTCAGGTTTCTGGAGATGTGTGGATACCAGGGGCGGACTGACAACTCATGGGGCCCCCGGGCAATAGGGGATCATGGGGCCCCTGTGTCCTTGCCCAAACTCAAAAAAGCCTATGAAAAAGGTACCAGGGGCATCTCATGGGGCCCTCTACTGACTCCGGGCCCTCGGGCAGTGCCCGCGTTTCCAAATGGTCAGTCCGCCCCTGCACCCCCTCAACCTTGGTAAACCCCCCCCCCACACACACACACCTTCCCCAGCCTGCTGTCTGAGCAAAAAGTAGCATGACTGAGGGACATGCAGAATATTGAGGCTAATACTTACCACCTAAACAATAAAACATCCACCCCCTCAGGGCGGGACTGACAACTCATGGGGCCCCTGGGCAATAGGGGATCATGGGTCCCCTGTGTCTTTGCCCAAACTCAAAAAAGCCTATGAAAAAGGTACCAGGGGCATCTCATGGGGCCCCCTACTGACCCCGGGCCCTCGGGCAGTGCCTGAGTTTCCAAATGGTCAGTCCGCCCCTGATGGATACACAAGGACTTCTTTATTGACGCTCCACAGCATCACTGAGACTTTTTCATTGAGTTTCCTATGTATAGGATTTGGACATCACTGAAATTCTATCATTTATGTATTGTTTATGCACATTTTGTTGTTTTATGCTTTATTATTTACACAGGATTGAGTTTTTGTCACTTTGTTCAGTGTGGCAATTTATATACACAAAATGTGAATAATGTAGAAGAGCTTACCCACTGTTAGGGTATAAAACCTAAAATGAAAGTATAACTAAAGGCAAAACTTTTCTTTTTTTTTTTTGTTGATAGGGTGGAGATGGATTAGAACACTTATGTTCTTTTGCTGTCTGTGCCCCCAATTGGAGATTCACCCTCTCTTATTTGTGCTCTTTACCATTATTGTTGAAAGTTAAAAAAAAAAATTCATATTTTGGGGTGTCCCCAGAAAAGTAGTAGAGGGGAAATCTTCTAATGGGCAAACTATTTCTGGTGACCTGGAGGACCCCAAGGGATTCCCTTAATTTTCAGGTATTTCCCCTAACTTCCTGTGTTAGCTATGAGACAGGAAGTGAAGGTTAATCTCCCCAATGGGACACAGATGGCAAAAAAAAAAAATCTGACAGGTTATAACCCTGCCTTACTCTATCCAAAAGGAAAAAATAAAGTTTTCCCTATAGTTCTACTTTAAAAGAGAAGTAAGGGTTCACAAAAAAACAAACATACATACTCACCAAGATGGCTGCAGCAATCGATCCAATACTGCAGCTATCCTCCGCTGGCTCTACACCAAGAACTTTTTGATTGTTGATTGTTCTGTTCTCTGTCTTCAGTGAGCAGAAAGACGGTGACTCGGCTCTCTGCTCTGCCCATCTAGTGCTCACTGGAACACTGGGCTGTGGGGGAGCTGGCTCTGGCTCGCAGTAGAGTGCTGAGAGGCTTAGCCAGCTGCCAGTCAGGCATCTGGGCAGATCCCGACATTATTGTCAGGATCCCCGCAGAGCCTAGACCAGCTCTGTAACGTGAGCTGAATATGGGACACAGGAGTGCAGAAATGAGTGCACTCCTGTGATCCCCAGGAGGAGTAGGGCCAAAAGAGCTTTGGCTATATGTCTCCTTTTAAGATGTTGTGAGTAAAGAACCAGTCCACCTAAAAGTGATATATTAGTTATAGGCGGAGCCTAGTGGGCTTCTACATGCCCTTGGATACTCCAAATCTGAGATATTTCTGCCATAATTCCTGATTCCTTTCCACCTGGGAGTTTTGTACTAAATAGAAAACCTATTCAGTATGGATGAGTGTTGCCACCATCTCTGTTACATACATATATACAGAATTTCCTCTTATGGGATTTTAAGGGCAACCAAACAAGGTGCAAATATTACCATAAAAAATGTTTTTAATTTAATTACAAATATTGAAAACACTCAAAAAAAAATGTGTTAAAAAGACCATTGTTTACAAACATGTCATCATGTACAGTGTTGAAAATCACAGTGGAAATATACATATGTGGAACACCCAGACGAGTTCCTGCTGTTTAGCCAGATGTTACATGATTTACAGCTAGTCCCAGTGCAGGGAAAATCCAACACATTTTAAATGAAATAGATACCAAATCCTTCTACAGGGAAAAGTGTACCACAAATAGATATGTGACCATTTGTATACCGAGCGTCATCATAGGCCACTGCATGGATCCCTTCTGCTACCAGGGAGCACCCCGGAATACAAGACTTCATAGGGACAAAACGCTGCTGCTTTATACCCAAAATCACTTCAAAAGGAATGATTTTCCACAGATTGATCCATCCATGGATTGTCTCATGGCTTGTCCAGATATCCATAAGGACATTCGGTATGCAAATGGTTACATATATATTTGTGGTACACTTTTGGATTTTTTTTGTGTTTTAATATCTGTAAAAAAATTGAAAACATTTTTATGGTAATGTTTGTACCTCATTTGGTTGCCCTTAAAATCCCATAAGAGGAAATTCTATATACAGGCATACCTCGGTTTACAAAAGCCTCGGTTAAAATAATTTTTGCTTTGCGAATGAAAATCCATTGAAAATAATGTCTCGGTTTATGAAATTTTTTCGCAATACGAAAGGATGAATTGGATTTCAATGCATTTACAATTTTTTTTAATCATGTCCCTGTATAGTACTATGCCTTTAAAGTGCACTTTATAGAGTTTTGAACAGATAAGACTGTTTTTTACTTTTTTGACCTCCGGAACGGATTAATTGGTTTTCAAAGCATTTATGATTTTTTTTTTTCGCAATACGAACGGATTACCGTATTTTTCGCTCCATAAGATGCACCTGACCATAAGACGCACCTAGGTTTTAGAGGCAGAAAACAGGAAAAAAAAAATTCTGAACTAATGGACTGCAGACACAGTACAGGAGATGACCAGAGACTGTGGACATAGTACGGGAGATGACCAGAGACTGCGGACACAGTACAGGAGATGACCAGAGACTGCGGACACAGTACAGGAGATGACCAGAGACTGCGGACATAGTATGGGAGATGACCAGAGACTGCGGACACAGTACAGGAGATGACCAGAGACTGCGGACACAGTACAGGAGATGACCAGAGACTGCGGACATAGTACAGGAGATGACCAGAGACTGCATACAGTACAGGAGATGACCAGAGACTGCGGACAGTACAGGAGATGACCAGAGACTGCGGACAGTACAGGAGATGACCAGAGACTGCAGACACAGTACAGGAGATGACCAGAGACTGCGGACAGTACAGGAGATGACCAGAGACTGCGGACAGTACAGGAGATGACCAGAGACTGCGGACACAGTACAGGAGATAAAAATGTAGTATTGCGCTCACAACCTTCCAATCTATATATGTAGACAAAATAAAAATGTGTATATGATATACATAAATAACTGAATAAGTGAATCTGTAGAAATCAACTCACATAAGCAAAACATAAAACAGTGAAAAAAACTAAAAGAAAATAATATAAATAATATTGTATAATAATAATGTCCCACAAAAAATATAAGTGACTTTGTGCTGAAAAATCTTCAATATCTTTTAAATGGGTGACTGCTTGTGCCTCCTCCCTCAAGTGAAGATGTGCGCTCACCTCATAGATAGCCTGCAATTAGGCTATTAAAGCTTGCGGTTCACCTCCTTGGAACCTACTTGTTTAGGAATTGATGTTGATAAGATAACCATGAAATGCGACATGTGCTGTAGAAAAGTATCCTCTCACTGGGTGCTACTCCACTGTCTTCTTATTTCCATGCGATCCTCCATATATAAGAAAAATCCTGACATGGTGCTTTATCGTTTTAAAAGCTTTTAATGTGAAGCTGACAGGTGGCACTCACATAAATCGTATAGTGGTAGTACAACTGATTCAAACATCCACTGGCTGTCGGAGCTGTGCGCTCGTGGTCCGATATCCGGACTGACTCCCTCCGAGTGACGTGAACAGTCCCACCCCTACGCGTTACGCCACTAGTCACGTGGCTTCATCAGGGGGATTTGATTGGTCAATCACTCGTGAGCTGTCGGCTTATAAAGCACGGCTCCGCCATTTTGTTGGCTATCTACTGGGGGCAGCCATTTTCCTATAGACCTGTAGTGGATTGTGAATATTACTGTGAACCTTATACCAATCCCGGAGGGGTACATAACGTCACTGCTCCGCAGCCAGCTCAAGGATTCAGAATCGATTACTTTATGGAATGACTCATATGACAGATAAATATTTAGAAAATACAAGTATTAACAACTTTATATAATGAATTAATAGTAAAAAACTCATTAGTTTGAATCTGGGCTGAGCAAACCAATGAATATGAAATAACCCATAGCACATATTTTATACAAATCAAAATAAGAGTATCAAATTATAAAAATATTAATTAAATCAATGTTACAAAAAACATTGATAATCAATATGAATAAAATATCAAGTATAATATAATAAATAAAAAAAATGAAAATAAAAATAAAAATAAATATAAAAAAATAATAAATGAAATAACTTTAATCACAAATGTATAAAAAATCTAAAATATATATATATAGGTTGGAGAGTGTGCCCAGGTCAATACCAGGCATAATGCATGTAAAAAAACGTGAACAGCAATGGAAAAAACTGACGCTAATGAGGCGCTCATGGATGGAACAGTGAGAGTCTGGCCCCATAGCATCGTCATGCATGTTCACGTCCGCACATGCATCCTGAATGGACACGGGACACAGTCCCTAATCTATACATCACTAATGAAACATGATAAATCAAAATCTTTATTTAAATCCTCCTGGTACTAGACTACCCAACTCATAAATCCAGAATGATTCTTTTTTACTTATTTCACGTACTAAATTATCCCCTCTCCAGTGTGAAAAATGTTTAGTGATGCCCCAAAATTCAACTTTGTTTGCATCCTGATTATGATGCGTTTTGAAATGTACTGATAGGTGATGGTATTTGAATCCTATCTCTATATTATGTATGTGTTCTTGCATACGCTCTTTCAAACTTCTCTTAGTGCGGCCTATATACAAATAATTACAGGGACATTTTAAAGCATATACTACTCCTGTACTGTCACAGGACATAAATTGTTTTATTTTATATTGTTTACCATTCCTTGGATTGATGAAGAACTCTCTATGTTTTGGATTTGAATGTGTTTTCCTACAACTGTAACAACGTCCACATTTATAAAATCCAATTCCAGTAAAAAAAAAAATTTTGTGTGCCTGGTATTGACCTGGGCACACTCTCCAACCTATATATATACAGTATATTTTAGATTTTTTATACATTTGTGTGATTAAAGTTATTTCATTTATTATTTTTATATTTATTTTTATTTTTATTTTTATTTTCATTTTTATTTATTATATTATACTTGATATTTTTATTCATATTGATTATCAATGTTTTTTGTAACATTGATTTAATTAATATTTTTATAATTTGATACTCTTATTTTGATTTGTATAAAATATGTGCTATGGGTTATTTCATATTCATTGGTTTGCTCAGCCCAGATTCAAACTAATGAGTTTTTTACTATTAATTCATTATATAAAGTTGTTAATACTTGTATTTTCTAAATATTTATCTGTCATATGAGTCATTCCATAAAGTAATCGATTCTGAATCCTTGAGCTGGCTGCGGAGCAGTGACGTTATGTACCCCTCCGGGATTGGTAAAAGGTTCACAGTAATATTCACAATCCACTACAGGTCTATAGGAAAATGGCTGCCCCCAGTAGATAGCCAACAAAATGGCGGAGCCGTGCTTTATAAGCCGACAGCTCACGAGTGATTGACCAATCAAATCCCCCTGATGAAGCCACGTGACTAGTGGCGTAACGCGTAGGGGTGGGACTGTTCACGTCACTCGGAGGGAGTCAGTCCGGATATCGGACCACGAGCGCACAGCTCCGACAGCCAGTGGATGTTTGAATCAGTTGTACTACCACTATACGATTTATGTGAGTGCCACCTGTCAGCTTCACATTAAAAGCTTTTAAAACGATAAAGCACCATGTCAGGATTTTTCTTATATATGGAGGATCGCATGGAAATAAGAAGACAGTGGAGTAGCACCCAGTGAGAGGATACTTTTCTACAGCACATGTCGCATTTCATGGTTATCTTATCAACATCAATTCCTAAACAAGTAGGTTCCAAGGAGGTGAACCGCAAGCTTTAATAGCCTAATTGCAGGCTATCTATGAGGTGAGCGCACATCTTCACTTGAGGGAGGAGGCACAAGCAGTCACCCATTTAAAAGATATTGAAGATTTTTCAGCACAAAGTCACTTATATTTTTTGTGGGACATTATTATTATACAATATTATTATATTATTTTCTTTTAGTTTTTTTCACTGTTTTATGTTTTGCTTATGTGAGTTGATTTCTACAGATTCACTTATTCAGTTATTTATGTATATCATATACACATTTTTTATTTTGTCTACATATATAGATTGGAAGGTTGTGAGCGCAATACTACATTTTTATTTCACGCTTTTTCACATTGGTAGTTATGTGCTAGAAGTTTGCGATCCAACAATAGGAATTTTATTACTTGGCTCGCAAGGTCTTTTCAAATAATTGAGACTCTTTAATACATACCAAACTTGCTGGAGACAATATGGAAGTATTTACTTATTTGGAAGATAGAAATATAGATATTGAAGCCATTTTTCAGGCTGATGATAAAAATGATGTAAATATTCATAATGTATTTAGACGAGCAGGACATTTGATGGAGAAAAAGATTAACACATGGTGGGACATTATAACCATGGAAAAATACATCAAGGAAAAATTAATACCTAGGAAATTGAGATGGGATTTACCCATTGCAGATGGGTTAATGGATGAGGAAGATAAAATTAGAGTGGTACAATTTTTTTAGCGAGAAAAGTTTGGAGCTATTGGTGTTCCTTAAAAAAAGAAAACAAAGGAAAATGAGGAAAATAGAAACTAATATGAAAGAATTGGTAACCAAGATAGACACCTTTAAAGATCACTCTGATTTTGGGAAATATATGAGTGATCTCAATAGGAGTGTTAAAAATAAAGACCAAGAAAATAAAGGTAAAAAGAAAAGGAAATATCAAAGAGTGGTGCAAGATTATAACTCAAAACAAGTGTTTAAATGGCAGAGTAAAGATAATACAGGCACATCACCAGTAGAAAGCACACCCACCAAAATTATGGCAGGAACAGGATCACCAGCCAAAAAAACCATAGGATTTGTCACCCCTAAAAACAATGCCCCCATTCAAAATCACAAAAAAAACCCCCACATCGAGGAAAGAGATGGGACCATCTCAATATGCCAACAATTGGAGGCAGTATGATCAATATCCACCTCAGATTAGGGAACCCCAGAGATTCCCCCATCCGGGTTATAGACCATATTACAATCCTGGCTACAGAGGAGGTGGATATAGGAGACCATATGGACACCCACCCAGATATACTCAGGGTTACAGACCCAACTATTATAAATCCCCTAATCACAAACCACAAGGTTATCCCCCACCATACAATCAAATGTACAATGTTCCAGTCCATAACAGTTACTCACCATTAGAACATCAACAACAGGATAATTCAACCGCTAATCCTTTTTTAGGGTGGGACTACAATCCCACACAGAATATAGAAAGATCAGAAAGAGGGGAAAAAGAGGAGGAAGAAAAAGGAAACAAGAAAAGGAGAAGAGACCCATAGGGGAAGGTATATACAATTTAAGCGGTATCCCATTAAATAGTGAAGAGATTAAAACATTGGATAGAGGCCTCAAGTTCGCGCCTACTACTAAATTGAATAAATTTGAAACGTATATTTAGCGTACATAAATTTTATAAGAAAATTAAATTTAGAAAAATATTTTTTACAGAATCCTATTGATACTAACCATCAAGACATAGGGAACATACAGCACAGTACTTTGAAAAATAAATCAGTATTCAACCCCAAAAATCAAGATAATTTACACATAAATAATTTTAAGAAAATGGTGATGAGAGATATAGAGGAACTTAAAATAAAAACGTTCAAAAGTGAAGCCGATATAAAGAAAGGAATTAAATCTTTGCAAGACAGAAACAATATAGTAGTGCGTCCAGCGGACAAAGGGGGGGGAATAGTGTTATTATCGAAAGATTCTTATGATAAATCTATGAGCAATATGTTGGGAGATACTGATACATATTGCAAATTGATTAACAATCCCACTAAATTGTATAAAACAGAATTAAGTAAATTAATAATGTATGGTAAACAAA